CCACTAGGGAGCAGCTCCTGAATTGAGTGTCTGCCCCCTGGTGGTCAGTATGTGTCACAGTGACCAGTTATTCCAGTTTGGTTGATTTGCTTATTAGCCTTTTATTTTTATTTTTTAAAATATATTTTATTGATTTTTTTTTACAGAGAGGAAGGGAAAAGGATAGAGAGCTAGAAACATCGATGAGAGAGAAACATTGAACAGCTGCCTCCTGCACACCCCCTACTAGGGATGTGCCCACAACCAATGTACATGCCCTTGACGAAAATCAAACCTGGGATCTTTCAGTCTGCAGACCAATGCTCTATCCACTGAGCCAAACCAATTTTGGCTTAGCCTTTTATTATATAGGATTAGAGGCTCGGTGCATAAAATTTGTGCATGTGGCGGGGGGGGGGGTCCCTCAGCCCAGCCTGTACCCTCTCCAATCTGGGATCTCTCGAGGGATGTCTGACTGCTCATTTTAAGCCTGATCCCAGTGGAATTGGGCCTAAATGGGCAGTCGGACATCCCTCTCACAATACAGGACTGCTGGCTCCCAACTGCTCGCCTGCCTCCCTTCCTGGTTGCCCCTAACCTCTTCTGCCTTTCAATTTCATCACCCCCTAAGCACTCCCCTCCCAGCCTGATTGATGCCTAACTGCTCCCCTGCCAGCCTGTTGGCCCCTAACTGCCCTCCCCTGAAGGCTCGGTCACCCCAACTTCCCTCCTCTGCCAGCCTGGTCCCTCCCAACTGCCCTCTCCTGCTGGCCATCTTGTGGTGGCCATCTTGTGTCCACATGGGAGCAGGATTGTTGACGACATGGGGGCAGCCATCTTGTGTGTTGGAATGATGGACAATCTGCATATTACTCTTTTATTAGATAGGATAAAGGCCTGGTGCATGGGTGGGGGCTGGCTGGTTTTCCCTGAAGGGTGTCCTGGATTAGGGTGGGGGTTCTCTTGGGGCATGGGGTGGCCTGAGCAAGGGGCCTGGGATGGTTTGCAGGCTGATCATACGCCCTGATGACCCAAGCGGAAGCCCTGGTATCTGAAATTTATATTTACCTTCTACAATTGAAACTTTGTAGCCTGGAGCAGAGCCAAGCCTTCTGCTTGCTCCGTGGCAGCAGCCATTTTTGTTGGGATTTATATATCTTCTATAATTGAAACTTTATAGCTTTAAGCAGAGGCCTGGGTTGGCCAGGGTGTGCAGAAAGCTTGGCTCCCTCCATTGCCGGGGGCAACACTAGCCTCCTGTTCTTCCAGTTCCATGGCTGCCACCATTTCTGTTTGGACTTGTTTACCTTCTACAATTAAAACTTTGTACCCTTGAATGGAAGCCGAGGCTGGCAGGGGCAGGAGGAAAGCTTGGCTTCCTCTATTGCCTGGGAAACCCAAGCCTCCCTCCTGCTCTCTGTGGCTATATCCATCTTGGTTGGGTTTATTTGAATATTCATTCCTGATTGGTTCGTGGGCATGGCTTGTGGGTGTGGCTTAAGGGTGTAGCAGAGTGATGGTTAATTTGCATATTATTCTTTTATTAGATAGGATGAAAGGAGCACAAAGGAACTTTTGTAAAGTGATAAAATGTTCTATATTTTGTTTGGGTGGTGGTTACATGAGTATATACAATTATTGAAAGTCATCAAGTTGAGGTAAGATCTGTGGATTTTTATTATATACAAATTTTATCTCAACTTTCTAAAATTACAAGGGGCTATCATTAATAAAGTTTATTTAACCATTCCTCTAATGATAAACATTAGTTTTCCCCCTCTTTGTCATAATCATATATTACAATATAATAAATATCTTAGTATATTAGGTTGATTCATATGAAATTACCAATTCAATATTTCCATGTGTAAAAATGACAAGTCCATATCTTCACCTGAAGATATTTTTCATCAGTTTTTAGCAGGCTAATTTGTTTATTTTTATTTATTTATTAAATTTATTAGGGGTGACATTAGTATAGATCGCCCAGCTATAAAACCATGTATATGGACAGATAATTTTTTAAAATACATTTTATTGATTTTTTACAGAGAGGTAGGGAGAGAGATAGAGAGCTAGAAACATCAATGAGAGAAACATCAACCAGCTGCCTCCTGCACACCCCCTACCAGGGATATGCCCACAACCAATGTACATGCCCTTGACTGGAATTGAACCTGGGACCTTTCAGTCCGCAGACCGACATTCTACCACTGAGCCAAACCGGTTTCGGCTGGACAGGTAATTTTTGACAAAGGAACCAGAAACACACAATGGAATAAAGATAGTCTCTTTAATAAATGGTGCAGAGAAAACTAGAAAGCCACATGCAAACTAATGAAACTGGATTATAGTTTGTCCCCATGTACAAAACTTAATTCAAAATGCATCAAAGACCTAACATTATATCTGAAACAATAAGTTACATAGAATAAAAGATAGGTAACCAATTTATGGACCTTGGTCATAGAGAACATTTTATGAACTTCGCCCCAAAGGCAAGGGAAGTAAAGGCAAAAATAAATGAGTGGGGCTGTATAAAACTAAAAAGCTTTTGCACAGAAAAAGAAACTGACAACAAAGCAAAGAGGCAGCCAATCAGATGGGAGATGATATTTACAAATAGTAGCTCTGACAAAGGTTTATTTCTAAAATATATAAAGAACTTATAAAACTCACCACCAAATAAACAGTAAAACCAAAAAGTGGGCAGAGGACCTGAAACTACACCTCTCCCAAGAAGACATATGAACAGCCAATAGATATATGAAAGATGTTCAACCTCACTAGAAATTAGGCAAATGCAAATCAAAACTACAAGGGAATACCACCTCACCCCTGTTAGAGTGGCCATTATCAATAAGACAAGCAATAGTAAGTGTTGGAGAGCTTGTGGGAAAAAAGGAAACCCTCATTCATTGCTGGTGGGAATGTAGACTGGTACAACCACTATGGACAGCAGTGGGGCAATTCCTCAAAAAATTGAGAATAGAGCTACCATACGACCCGGTAATCCCTCTCCTGGGTATATAACCAAAAAAACTTGAAATCATGTATTCACATAAGTATGCGTACCCCTATGTTCATTGCAGCATTATTCACAGTGGCCAAGACATGGAAACAACCAAAGTGTCCTGTGATAGAAGACTAGATAAAGATGTGGTACATAACACAATGGATACTACACAGCCATGGTAGCAACCATACTTAGGTAAAAATTGCTGTTTGAATTTTAACACTGCTATTCTGGCTGTTGGACTCACTTACTTAAACAATAGGGTAGTTACCTGCCAGTGGACCAGAACCACAGGAGATTGATTCCCATTGACTCAGTAGCTCCAGGAGTTGAAACTACAGATAACCTTTAGAGATTAACTTTGCTCAGGTCTGCTTCTATACTATCTGCTACCGCAAGATAGGTTCACATTCCAATGTCCAGCAGGATATGGCTGGGAACAACCCTGAGGACTGTTCCCAACCTTTAGAATTTAGAATTTAGAACAAAGGAAAATTCTTGTGGTTTAGACCTTTAAAAGGACTGCCTACATCCGGAACAGCGCGGTCATGAGTGTGGACTCCACCTGTGTGTGGTGCTCTCATGGCCATCCTGGTCAGTTCAATAAATCCTTGCCTGCTTTTCTTAATCAATTAGCAGCCTCCAGTGGTCTTATTTTTGATTCCAGGGTTCAATTGTCATTTGCAAAAACATGGATGAACCTTGAGAATATTATGCTCAGTGAAATAAGTCAGTCAGAACAAGTATATGGGTTAGAAGAACCATATGATTTCTCTCATATGTGGGATATAAAACTGAAACTTGTGGACACAAACAGCAGTGTGGTGGTTGCCAAAGGGAAGGGGGTGGGGGAGAAGAAGGTCTTAATGTATGGTGACAGGAGATTTTACTTTGGGTGGTGGCACATGGTGCAATATACTTAAAACCTTTATGTTCATGTTGACCAATTTCCATTCATTTTTTAGAGAGAGTAGAAGGAAAGGGGAAAGACACATAGATTGGTTGTCTCCCGCTCCAACTAGGGCCCTACTAATCTTTCATGAACGTGTTTATTTGCATCTTAATATTTTTTTAAATTCTTTGTAATTTGATAGCCATTTACATCCCTTCCACAAGGCACTTTGTATCTTATCAAAGAGAGTACTTTGTAGGTCTCTTATGGCTCATGTATGTGTACACTATGGGTGTGTAAGAAAATAACTTGTGAAGGTCAAGAACAACCTCATTTTTCTTATCTCCTGGCCTAGTGCCTAGTGCATGTCACTCATTCGCTCAAGGACCATCTATTGAGTTCGCACAATGGACCAGTACCTGAGATAGGTTCTGTGGGCATTCAAGACATTCACTGAACTGAGCACCCTTCGTTTCAGATATCCTTTTATTGTACCAGCGGGTCGCCTTCAACATCCTTGCCCCGCGTTTTACATTTCCAGATTGAGGCTTCCTCATTTCTAGGGTGCACTAATCCGGAAGTAAAAGCACTGAGCATTTAGCCTTTAAATGTATTGACTATGGATACAGGTACCTCCGTTAGCCCTGTTAATAATTCCTTAAAATGCATCCACAAGTCATACTCTGGGGGACTTCGAACGGGGAGGGTAACATCGAGGGCAGCCTGGTGATGCAGGGACTTTTCACCGAAGTCTGAAGGGCACCAGCACGGTGAATTTCTCTGCAGGGATACCAGTGCAATAAATATGCAAATCTGGCCGCACAGGCTCCCTCCGGTGCCGGGAACGCCCGCGGCCACACCCCAGTTCTCCGGGTCAACGTACTCAGAGGGGCGGGGCTCGCCTCTCGCGCGCGGAAACGGAGACCAGCCCCGCCCCCGCCCTAGCCCCGCCCACTCCCGGCGCGCGCCCGGAGCCCCGCCCACCCGGCTGAAAGGGCCGCCAGCGCCGCGGCGCAGCGTCCTGCCTTCGGATTCGGGCCGGCGCCGCCTGTGACCGGCGCCGCGCGCGGAGGACGCCATGCGCGCGCGCCCGGGCCAGTGACAGCCTCCGGGATGGACGGCGGCTCCGTCTCGGGAGAGGGGCCGAAGCGCCCGCCGGACCGCCGGCGGTTTCTGCTCTTCTTACTCGCCAGCCGCTGCGGAAGCCCGGGCGGCGTCCCGGCGCGTCGCTGCCTGTCCGCGCTCGCCCAGGGTCTGGAGGCGCTGGGCCCCGGCGCCCCCGCGGCCCGCGCCGCGTCACGTGCCTCGGCGCTGTGCCTCTTGGTGCAGGTGCCGGTGCCGCGCCGGGCCGCCGCCGCCCCGCGCCGGCCGCCGGGAGAGCGGGAGCGCGCGCGCCTGGGGCCCTCGGCTCCCCCCGCCGGGCGCTGCTGCGCGTGGAGGTGCCAGCCCGGCCTCGTCCCGGGCGTCGCCTGCGCCGCGGGCCCCCTGCACCAGTGCCAGGGCCGAGTGCCCGCCCTCGCTGCCACCCGGAGAGGTAGGCTCGGGCGGTGGGAGGAGAGGGGGCTCGCCCCGTGCGGCTGGGACGGTGGGGCGGGGAGGGGCTTTGGCTTTGACCTCCCGGGGAGGCCAAAGGAGCCAGAGGTCGGGCCACTTGAGGTCACCAGGCTCCTAGGGCGTGGGGAAGGAGGGCCCCGCCCTGCTTCTGGTCCTCGGCATCCTGCTGAGAAGTCCTGAATGACTCGGAATGCTTGCCCAAGGGTTTGGGCGCAAAATTGAAACGGGATGCGGAGAGGTGGTGCGTGCCGGGGCAGTGAGTTTGTGCACGCCCCTGTGCAGAGCTACACGTGGGCGCTAGCGTACAGGCTGCTGTTTGGCCAGCAACTCTGATGAAGGGTGTGTGGAAGGCTTGCACGTTTGAGAAGCAGAGCTCTGGGAATTGAAGGGACTGTTTTACAATTTAAGTTTAAACTCGAATGGGTTCCTTGTTTCCTTCAGTTAAGTACTAGCTCCTATTCTGTGCCGCCTGGTACTTTCCTAGATACTTGGGATCTATCAGTCAACAAAATGCCTTCCTTCTGTTAACGTAAAAAAAAAAAAAAAAAAAAAAAAAAGGGGCATTGAAACCTGTAAAGAATCTTTGGGAGTTTATTTGAGCCAAACTGTTGACATACGCCAGGAAGCAATTGAGATAATGCTTCAGAGAATGGGGGGCTACATCTGTATTTATACATTACAATCAAAGGAAAAGGACATAGGTGGGTTACATGAAATCCATTGGTGATAGACTAGAGAAGTGGGAGAAAGCAAAGCAGGGTAAAAAGTAAAATGATAGACACTCAAGTGGGTGCAGGAACAATTAACATAACAATGAAGGAATTTGTATTATAGTATTTGTCCTGGAGTCCAGGCACTTAAAGTTGTGACTCAAAGGGTCCAGAAAAAGGGAAGTTACAAGTTACCCAGATATTTCAAGAGTATGTTTTTATAGATGAAAAAAGACAGACAGGCTCAGCTAAGATAAAGGCTGGTGTTGTCGGTGAAGATACCAGCCTAGGATGTAACTACCCACCATAACTGCTTTTAGTTAAAGTTTAATTTCAAACCATCCTCTGTGGTTACTTTAGGTCTCTTGAGTTTGCAGATCGCCATGCAGGCCTTCCCTGAATTGGTTAGGTTAGCATGTCCACACTTCTTGGAGCTTAATTCTAGCAGAGGAGATGATACACACATATGTTTAAATAGATATAGATATAATTTTGTATACATATACAATTTACATATGCACATAGGATATTTATATGTACATATTAGAAAAATACTATAAGAAAAATAGAGGTGGTAAGGGTTAGGAACTGAGATGGGCCTCCAGTTATGAATTTAATAGCATCATCAGAATAGGTTTTATTGAGAAAGTGGCTAAATGCTTGAAAGGGATGAGAGCAGTCACTGTCCTACGTGAGATTAAGGCAATCTAAACAGGTTCAATTTACTAGGTAGCAAATTGTTGATTAAAATGTCATCATTTTAGGTAATGTTAATTAGTAAACTTGGCCAAAATATCACTTTGGGAGACTATACTTTTCAGTAACCACTCTGGTAGCTCCCACACCCACCTCACCCAGTAGAAACGCCCAGTAAATGTTGGCTGCATCTAAAATTCAAGAATACCTTTGGCTGGGGAAGAAACTGATAGAGCAACAAAGTGAACCAAGCTTGACATATGGAGGCTGGCAAATGAGTAATGAATGAACTCTGTCAATGTCCTGCAGTAATTTTGTGTTAGAGATGGCTTTTAACTTTATTTCTGTGCTTTGCCCCTGAGTCCCTTTTTTGACAAGCTGGAAACGTGATTTATTTTCCTCTAAAAACTCAAGATTATGGGGTAAAGGAGAGAGTGTTCTTTCTCATCAGTTTTCTGACGAGCAAGGTAGTAATGTTGTTTTAGTCTCAGATTATGTCATTCTTCACAGTGTGGATGGATTCATAAATACTATGGGGAAACACAGCCAAGACAGTTAAGGAATCATGTATGCCCATTGCCCATGAATAAATGAGAGTTTTGTTCCTTTGTCTTCGGCCAAATGGTTTGTTTGGTGCCAAAGGTAGGGCTACTTAGACTTAAGGATATCATAGGTAGGAAATTTGTATTTGGTTCCCTCCTCTGGTCAAGGGTAACTGGGCTTCTTTTGTGTGTTTTTTTTTTATCCTTTTGATATACTGAAGGTCCCCCAAAGGAGAATTTCAAATTACACTTTAAAATAGCTCATTTTACTTGCTTCCTGGTTATAAGTAGGAATTTATAGTTCTTAGGCCCTGTTTTGTTATCACAATAAAAGAGGAAAAGTGAGTCAGAGGTGTTGTGTTCTGGATGTCTGAGTATTGCTGTTACCATTTGACAGAAAGCAAATTGGCATTCACTTTCTATCAGCAGGGGCTGGACGGCCAACTGGGAAGTGGCCAGCCCTTTTCTCTACTTCTCAGATGATAATATTTGTTTGAAATAAGCTTGCAACTGAAATAAATTCCCAATACTTTTTTGGGGGGGAAATTGGCAGTATCTAAGTTGGAATTGGCTCTTGCTTAGAAAATAGTGATTTTGTTTTGTTTGAGGGGGGACAGATTATTTTGTTATTAGAAACAAGGAAATGGGGAGTAGACTAATCCTGTCACTCTTCATAAACCAGCTGCTAGACTCCAGTGTTTTCAAGCTCCCTAACCGATTACAGTCATGAACAGTTCTATGATGGATGGGGTGGCCTGTAGAGAGCCCCTTGAGAGGTGCATTCATTCATTAATTCATTCACCCACCCAATGTTTTTAGAGCTAGGTCTGTTTTGTGTCAGCAGACATTCGGGTTCTCTTCTCATGAGACCAATTTTTGTCCCAGGACTGGAGATTAAGAATGAAAAAAGAGACATTCACTTATGTGAAAAAGGGAGACCATAGGCAAAGAACAACACTTGCTCCTGTGATTTTTGTGAGCATATAATCTGATGTGCTTCCTTTAGCAAGGTATCTGTCACCTAATAATTGGTGACAACCTTATTATTTTTGCCAATGTTACTCTGTCTGAGCAGGCTCCCAAGTTGTGGTGGACACTCAGCTGTGTGCATAGACATTATGATTCTGCCCCCTAATCGTAAGTGGCTGGGCCCAGCAGGGCTTCTCAGAGGTCAAATGGCTAGCTGTGCCCATTAACTGGCAGTGTGACTTTGAGCAAGAGTCTCAACCTCCCTGAGTCTTATATTTCTTATATGGAAAATGAGGTCATAATAGACAGATATCCCCCATAGGATTGAGCTGAGGATCAAATGAGTTACTGCAAGAACAGCATTTAGCACATTGTGGGGCACTTGGTAAGTACCTTTAGATATTAACTATTTGTATTACTACTGACCCATGAGACCACAAGTTATTTGAGTGCCTATTGTATACAAAGCATTGTCCTAAGTGCTACAGGTACGTAGTGAACAAAACCAGGCACACCCTGACCTTGCAGAGCTTATATCTAAAAGGAGAAGGCAAACAAAAAAACAAATAATTATAATATCCAGCAGGGAGTAGTGCAATGTAGAGCATTAAAGCAGTGTGGGGTCTGTGACTAAGAAAAGGGGTAACGTTGTCGAGCTGTTCTCTGAATGTCTTGAGTTCTCCTTCCCGACCTCTGTGACTTGATTTGGCCAATAAAATATGAGTAGAAGGGGTAGGTGCCATTTCTGAGTGTACCTGCAGAGGCACGGTGTGACTCTCCACCTCCCTTTATAAATAGAAAAAAGGGAACAAAAAAGAGGTACTCATTTATATAAAAAGGGAAGACAATAGGTTAAGAGGAGAAAAGAGTTGATCTCAAATTTTCCTCATGATCCAGATCTTAGAAATCATACAATTGAATTTTTGTTTTTAATAATTATTGTTGTCCTGCAGTATGGAAGGCCCTCTGTTAGATGTTAACAATACAAAAATGACTAAGATTGGCTGCTCTTGGGTTGTGGACTCACAGTCGATACAGATATGGAAGTAATATAACAAGGGCTATGATAGAGCCATCTGTACTCAGCTGAGAACACAGATAAGGGAGCAATAAAGGCTGCTCCCTGACCTGGGTGGGGTTAGCAGAGAGAACTGTACACTGTATAATCATAACCAGGACATAATGAAGACTTGGGAAGTTGTCAAATTAAATGAAGGGGGTAAAGAAGGTGTTTAAAATTTACCAGTTGAGAAAGGGCACCAAACCACACTTCAGGATGGGATACCAAAGTATGAAAGAAAGTTCAGGAAACAGAATAGCTTAGGTGGCTAGCAGAAAGCTAAAAAGGTAAGTGTGTGGCACAGGCTTTGTGTGCTTTGCTAAGGACTTTAGAGTATAGTCTGGCTAGTGATCCTTTGAATCTAAGGGTCCCTTTTAACCATTAAACACAGATAGACAATTGTTGCATTTTATATTTTGTCAGTCTGCAAACTGTGTGCGACAGAGTGATTACTGACTCTTGATCTTACTTGATGCTGACTATGACCACAGCAATCATGCTCTTCCAAGTATCCAGTAAGTTGGGAACCACTGTTCGAGGCTTACAGAGAAGAATCAGATCCGTGGGGTCCTGTCCATGTCATCGTTTTGCTTACTTTGCAGTGTCTGTTAGAGTGTGTAAGGCTGAGAATAGGAGTTGATTAGCTGAAGTATCTTTCTGGTCATTTAGGAGATCTACTGAGAAAACTTTGAACTTTGAGTTAGTAGATGACTGTTCTCTCTTCTACCATTCTTCTACAACACCTGGCATCATTGAAAAGTAAGAACAAATATGTAGCAAGAATTACTTATCTGTGTTTATTACATTTAAATGGAGGGTTTTTATTTTATGTTATCCATCTCTTTTTTTTCTTTCGTTTGCTATCACAATGTCTTTTTTAGTTTGACTATAATAGTAAGGAGCTATTACATTTAAATGTCCTTTTTGGCAAAATTATAAATTGACACTGCAGTTCCATTAAAAAAATAAATAAAACCATTATTGTGGTTCATGAAATACAAAAGCCAGGAAGCCATTACTATGCCACCTCCTTCAAATGAGCACTTTGAAATAAGTATACAAAATGGGTTGAATCTGTGGTTATGTGCACAGAAATTCATAAAAATGGTAATATACAAATTGTTAGAATTCATCTCTCCAAAAATGGGCTTTTGCAAAGACATCACAGGGAAAGAAAATGACAGACCAATGTCTCTTGTAAATAAGGATTTAAAAAAAAAATACTAACAGACCAAATCTGGCAATACATAGCAGGAGTAGACACCATGACCAGATGGGATTTTGCCCCAGTAATACCAAGTTCATTTAGTATCTGAAAATCAATTTATGTAATGCACCTTATTAACCAAATAAAGGAGAGAAACCACATGACCATTTCAAAATACAAAGAAAAGGAAGTTGAAAAAATTTAGCACCCCTTCATGATTTAAAAAAAAAAAAAAAAAGACCACTTGACAAATTAGGACTAGGAGGGAACTGCCTCACCTGATAAAGGGCGGCTGTGAAAAACCCATGGCTAGCCTACTTAATGGGGAAAGACAGAATGCTTCCCCTCTAAGGTCAGGAGCAAGGATGTCTGCTCTCATCATTCCATTTAACATAGTACTAGAATTTCTAACCAGGGCAGTTAGGCAAGAAAATGTAAAAGCGTTCAGATTGTAAAGGAAGAAGTAAATCACATGTGACGATCTTGTACATAGAAAACTCTAAGGAATTCACTAAAAAACTATTGGAGCTAATAAGTTCAGCAAGATACCAGCTCAATATATTTTTAAAATATACAAAAATCAGTTTTATTTCTACACACTAAAAAGGAACAATCTGAAAAATCTAAAAAAGAATTCCCTTTATAGTAACATCAGAAAGAATAAAACAGTGCTAAATTTAATAAAAGAACATAAAATTTGTACTCTGAAACCTATATAATATTATTAAAGAAATTAAAGACATAAATAAATGGAAAAACATTCCATGTGCATGGATTGGAAGACTTTAATATTGTTAAGATGGCAGTATTCCCCCAAATTTATCTACAGATTTAACACAATTTCTATCCAAAGTTTCAGGTGCTTTCTTTGCAGAAATTGAAAATCTGACCCTAAAATTCATATGGAAATGCAAGGGACTCAGAATAGACAAAAGCAATCTTGAAAAAGAACAGAGTTAGAGGATTCACTTCCTGATACTGAAACTTACTGCACAGTAATGAAGAAAATGTGGCACTGGCATAAGAACAGACATACTAGTATAGATCAGTGGGATAGAATGGAAGATCCAAAAATAAGCCCTCACATTATAGTCCATTGATTTTTTTTTTTATTACCAGAGACACAGGACAATTTAAAGGAGAACATAGTGCTGGGACAAGTGGACACCCACATAGTTCAAAAGAATGAAGTTGAATGCCCATCTTACAACATATACAAATATTAACTCAAATGGATCAAAGACCTAAATGTAAGAACTAAAATTGTAAAATAATTAGAAGGAAACATAGATGTAAATCTTTGTGTACTTGAATTAACCAATAGTTTCTTAGGTATGATACCAAAAGCACAAGGAACAAAAAGAAAAAATATAAATTGGGCTTCATTCAAATAAAAAACTTTTGTGCTTTAAAAAGCACTACAAAGAAAGTGAAAGACAACTCACAGAATAGGAGATAATGTATTAAATCATATATATATACATACATATGTATGTATGTATGTATGTATATATATATATATATATATATAAATATGGAACATGTATCTAAAATATATAAAGAACTCTTACAACTCAGCAATAAAAAAGATAACCCAATTTTTTTAATAGGCAAAAGGTCTGAATAGAAATGTCTCCAAAGAAGATATACAAGTTTCCAATAAGCACATTGAAATATGCTCAACATCATTAGCCATTAGGGAAATGCAAATCAAAACTACAATGAGATACCACATTACACCTGCTAAGATGACTATAATAAAATGGATAATATTAAGTGTTGAAGATGTGTAGAAATTGGAACCATCATACATGGCAGTTGGGAATGTGAAAAGGTGCAGCCACTTTGGAAAACAGTTTGGCACAACCTTAGAAGGTTTAACATAAAGTTACTGTATGGTGTAGCAGCTCCACTCCTAAATATGTACCCAAGAGAACTGAAAACATGTTTACACAAAAACTTACATACCAGTGTTCATAGCATCAACATTAGAAATAGCCAAGAAGAAACAACTCAAATGTCCTTCAACTAATGAATAGGTTAAATAAAATTGGTATATTTATACAATGGAATAGTATTTGATAATAAAAAGAAACATGGTACTGACACATACTACAAGGTGAATAAACTTTGAAAACACCATGCTAGGTGAAAGAAACCAGTATAGAATATCACATATCTTATGATTCTGTTCATATGCAGTATCCAGAGTAGGCAAATCCATGGAGACAGAAAGTAAATCAGTGTTTGCCTGGGAGTGGGAGTGTTGCGAGTTTGGGTATAGGGCTTCTTTTGGGGATGATGACAGTGCTTTAAAGTTGATTGTGGGGATGCTTGCACAACTTTGTTTCTATATACATAAAAGCCTAAGTGACCGTTATGACCAAACAATTGGTTGACTAGTCACTATGATTTGCTCAATGAAGGAGCTGCCCCCGGTGGTCAGTGTGCTCCCACAGTCAACCTCCCACAGTGGGCCAACCTCCCACGGCCATTCTCCCAAGTCGGCTGGTCCAGATCGGCTCTGGGCAAGATGGCCCCAATCGCAGGCCAGACTGGGGGACCCCACCCATGCACGAATTCGTGCACTGGGTCTCTATTATATAATAAAAACAATCAAATTGTATACTTGAAATGGGTGAGTTGTATAGTAGTATGTGAATTATAGCTCAGTAAAGCTCTTGTGAAAAAACAAACAGCTTTTGAGGTATGACTGGTTTTTTCACATTACTGAGTTCCTTTTGTTTACCATTATGTCTGTTTTTTAAACTTTATTGTCCTTTCTGTTCTAGAGCTAAGCCTCTCTGCTGGGTGCCTACAGTTGGAGCACAAACGCGGAGATTTCACCTCCTCTGGGAGTAGGAAGCTCTACTTTGACACTCATGCCTTAGTGTGTTTACTCGAAGAAAATGGTAATCCTCTTTCTTTGGTCACTCAGTGCCACAGAAGAACACAATAAATTATGACTTCTCTTATGGTTTCATCTAATTTCTCTTATTTCTTTTTGACTTTTAAATCTACAAGTAATCTTTTGGTCAGACTCCATTTCTTAAGTTCTCATTTTCTGTTGAAGGACATTTTTGCTTCATCAGTACAATAGAAATTTTCTCATACAGTCTGTCCAAGTGAAGCACATTCTTTTAACATCACTCCAGAAGTACAGCATTAAAGATAAAAAGTTAGACACAAGTCAGCAAAACTCAGGAGTGGTTCTTATGATGACTATCTGAAGCACAAAAGTGTTATTTTATTAATGCATCTTATGTGCTTTTATAATTTTTATGAAATTAAAATGTTGCTGAGCAGTAGTTATTAATATCAACACATTGTATCCTTTTAAAAAAAATATTCCACCTAACATTTTCCCTTACTGCTCTTGCATTCATTAATGTAAAAGATTGCTCTGAATTTTGTTAAAAGTGCACTTAATATATAGATAACATTCTTATATTTAATCTTATCAAGACAAATATACCGCCGGGTCCGGTTTGGCTCAATGGATAGAGCGTCGGCTTGGGAACTGAAAGGTCCCGGGTTCGATTCCGGTCAAGGGCATGTACCCTGGTTGCGGGCATATCCCCAGTAGGGGGTGTGCAAGAGGCAGCTGATCGATGACTCTCTCTCATCGATGTTTCTGACTCTCTATCTCTCTCCCTTCCTCTCTGTACAAAATCAATAAAATATATTTAAAAAAAAAAAAAAAAAAAAAAAAAAAAAAAAAAAAAACTATAGAGGGTTTTTTAAAAAAAAAAAAAAAAAAAAAAAAAAAAAAAAAAAAAAAAAAGACAAATATACCAATACTATGACATATATATTCTCAAAATCAGAAACTCATATGTTATAGGTTATGCCTTGGAAATAAATATATGTGCTTTTACTTTATTGTATAGTTATTTACCCAACTGTGAATGATTGAATGTGAAAAGCTGCCCTCTGTAGATTCCCAGGTCAAGGTGATGGAATGAATTGTGTTCCTCTGGGCAGTAAGAAGCTCTGATGGCATGAGCATAATAAGAATTCCAAAGAACCTTTTTAAAAAATAAATGTTTTAAGTGATTTTAGAGAGAGATGGAAACATTTATGAGAGAGAAACATTGATCAGCTGCTTCCTGCATGCCCCTCTCAGGGATCAAGCCCACAACCTGGGCATGTGCCCTGAACCTGTGATCTCTTGTTGCGTGGGCTCAACCATTGAGCCACACCAGCTGGGCTCCAAAGAACCTTTTACTTTTCTTTTTTTTTTCTATTTTTTTTCCAAAGAGCCTTTTAAATATTAAATGAAATAATGTACTTAAGTGTACTCTGGAAAAAATGTCAAATGCTGTATAATAATTTTGGCAACCATTTTCTTCTCAAACTTGAAATAATAGGCCATTTTCACCGAAAACTTCTTTCATTGGCCAAAAAGAAAAGTGGAAGTGAGAAGAGGACCATCTAAAATTATCTTGATGAACAGCAGTATTCCTAGTTTTTTTCTTAAAATTCTTTTTTGGGGGGCTTTGTGTTTGTATTCAAAGTAACCAATGGTAAAAAGAAATATTAGAGACAATGGGGACATTTCAGTATCCACTAGGTAGTATGTGATGGCATTAAGGGAGCACCGGTGATTTTGTTACGTGGAACAATGCAAGGTAGCTGCAGTGGACTCCAGATGGCCACCTTTCTATCCTCCCAATGAGAGGTGGGGTTTATTGCCCCTCTCCCTCTTTCAAAATCTGTTTATTTAGACAGAAATTGCATAGGTTAAAAATATGATGTTTTGGAGTATGTACTTTCTGCTTTTCTTGGTTTCAAACCTTGGCCCATGAATATTTGCATATTTCAAGATCAGCGATGGGAAGACGCCACTGTGTAGGGTATGACCATTCTGAGATCAGTGGTGGATGTATAAATTGTCTCGGTTAGGGTGAGGCCAGGAAGAACCCTTCAAGGAATATTCCCTCCTTTATCCTTTTTTTCTTCAGTTATGTCTCCCAGTTAACAAAACTTGCTTTGTCTGTACTAACCCTGATGTGTCTTATTCTCTCATTCCTACAAAAAATAATTTGCATCTGATAGCTCAGCAGGTTTCCAGGCTTCTGCTTTTCCTTATTCCCTTTCACCTTCCACAGGTGCTTGTTAAATTTTAAGGCTTTGGAGATTATTTGCTTTTTATTATCACTGAAAGTCTTTTCCAGTCTCTATTTTTATTTTCTTTATAATTGCCAAATCTCATTCTGTTAGATTCCACATGTGAGAGTGATCACATGATACTGTCTTTTTCTGAACTGACTTATTTCACTTAGCACAATACTGTCTCTCCATGCTGTTGCAAATGATGAGAGTTCTTTCTTTTTTACACCAGCATAGTATTCCATGGTATAGATATACCACAGTTTTTAATCCACTCACCTGCTGATGGGCACTTAGGCTATTTCCAAATCTTAGCTATTGTAAATTGTGCTCCTGTGAACATTGGAATACATATATTCTTTCTGATTGGTGTTTCTCATTTCTTGGGATATATTCCTAGAAGTGGGATTACTGGGTCAAGTGAGAATCCCATTTTTAATTTTTCGAGGAAACTCCATACTGTTTTCCACAATGGATGCACCAGTCTGTGCATGAGGGTTCCTTTTTCTCCACATCCTCACCAGCACATGTAGTTTGTTGATTTGTTGATGATAGCCATTCTGACAAGATGTGAGGTGATACCTCATTGTCATTTTTATTTTCATCTCTCTGATGATCAGTAACTTTGAGCATTTTTTCATATGTCCCTTGACCCATCTGTATGTTCTCTTTGGAGAAGTGTCTATTTAGGTCCTTTGCCCATTTTTTAGGATTAAAAATAAATAAAATAGATTTTTTTATTTATTTTAGAGAGGAAGGGAGAAAGAGAGAGAAATAGAAACATCAGTGATGGGAATCATTGATCAGCTGCCTCCTGCACACCCCCTCCTGGGCATGGAGCACTCAACCCTGGCATGTGCCCTGACTGGGAATCAAACCGTGACATCTTGGTTCATAGGTCATTGCTCAACCACTGAGGCACACACCACCTAGGCTGTGCCTTGTTTTTTTTTTTAATTATGGTCCTATGCTTAATCTCATCCATATTATATCAACTATAACTTTATTCAAACAAATGTGCCATTAATTAATTATGAGAATCAGTAGAGCACTAGCCAATTTGGCTCAGTGGATAGAGCGTCACCCAGACCAAAGGGTCCCAGGTTTGATTCCTGACAAGGGCATGTTACCTCAGTTGCAGGCTCCTCCCCGGTCCAGGCCCTAGTCTGGTGCATTCAGGAGGCAACCAATCAAATGTGTTTCTTTCACATCGATATTTCTGCCTTTTTCTCCCTCTTCCACTCTATCTAAAATCAATGGAAAAATATCCTCAGGTGAGGAGTTAAAAAAAAAAAATCAATAGATTCTTTTAAAATTCTTATAGATGGACATATTTAATAGAAATAATTACTTTCCAGGGACTTAGTTTTAAACATTTTATTAGTATTTCCAATGTGAGATATAAATTACTATCTAAAGTTATTAAAAGCAGTAATACTGCTGAGTCAAATCTTTATATAATTCAATTCAACATCATTTCTTAAGTATCAAAGTATATATTTTCCAGTGTGGGCCCCTATCACTAGTGACTGAAGAGAACTGTGGAGAAAAAATGAAATAATTTATTTTAACATTATCTTTGAACATTTAATTAACAGCAAAATTATAATTTCCATAGTCAATAATTTGATTTATGCTAGATATAAAACAAATGAGCTTTTCTATCTAAGTAAATTATTTTTGCTAAATATACATTTTAAAATTAAGGAAGTCATGTCCATTGAAGAAAATAAAAATTAATCTAGAATTTTTGTTAAATCACAAAAGTGGTAAATTGTATCTATAATATTGAGTCTTTCTTTTTTCATTTGACCTTGCATGACAGGTATCCCCTATGTTATTAGACATTTTCTGAAAACATGTTGTTTGACAGTGCAGATGGGCGTTAGAGAGCAGGTAGCCCCAATGCTCAGTTCACATGAGGAAACCCTCAGTCGTGTCATACTTGTCCAATGATAGACACGTAACAGCCTGTGACTGTAGTCTCCTCATTCGCCTACCTCATCCGCTTTCCACCTGCTTCTCAAGTTCAGGCATTTGCTCCGTGTGTAACTTTGTGTTGTCTCCCTTTCTACGAAGGCTTTCCTTTGACAGCTAGAGTCTCCTGAGTGTGATTGTCTTTGTGTATTTGCTTAGGGTTTACTACTCAACAAGCAGAAATCATTGTATCTGCATTGGTGAAGATCACGGAGGCCAACATGGGTATCGTCTACAAAGACATGGTCACCAAGATGCAACAGGTTAGCTTTGTCAGGGCACTTTTGCAAATTTGAAATCTAAAAGGAAGATGTCACTTATAATATATATTTTTGGATAATGTCCTATTGAAAAGCGTGTAGTTAATTTTTATCGTAATTGAGAGGCTAATTATTGCAGGGCATAAAAAGTATTTACTCAAAACTATTTAGTAAACTCTTGTAGAATCAAATCATTATGCTAGAAATTCACTATGCTTGAAAAGTCTCTGTTTGAAAACGGTTTCAGTTCGCCATCCTATATAATAAAAGCCTAATATGCTAAATGTTTGGTCGTCTGGTCTTCTGTCCTACCAATCAAAGCATAATATGCTAATGATAATGCTAAGGTTGCTCAACCACTCGTTATGATGTGCACTGACCACCAGGGGGCAGATGTTCTGACCGGTAGCTTAGCTTGCTGCTGGGGTCTGGCTGATCAGGACTGAGCGACACAGGCCAGACATGCCTTGGAACCCTTCCGCAGTTCCTCCTTGGCTGGCCAATATCCCGGGTCCCTCGCCGGCCCCAATTATGCATTAGTGGAGTCCCTTGGCCTGGCCTGCACCCTCTCACAATCCAGGACCTTTGGGGATGTCGGAGAGTCGGTTTCAGCCCCACGGCAGAACAACCAGTTGTGATGACACCAGGGGGAAGACAATGTAGGAGGGAGCACCGCTCAGCCAGAAGCCAGGCTCATGTGGGGAGTGGGCCTAAGCCGTCATTTGGACATCCCCCAAGGCCTCTTGGACTGCAAGAGGGCACAGGCCAACCTGAGAGACCTCCCCGTGAGTGCATGAATTTCGTGCACCAGGCCACTAGTACTTTAATAAATGGAGATGTGGCCAAAATTATAGCAGTGTGTTTTTGGTCCTCAGACTGCCACCCTTTTAACTGTAATCCACTTGATGATGATACTGGACTTGAATTTTTATTCTTTTCCTTTTCTCATTTTGGAAGAGAGAAACTTCTTTCCTTGTGTCCATATTCATCTCGTTTCTCATTAAGGTGATACCAGGTAGAAACAATAGGAAGTGGACTTTCTAGACTACATTAAGTTATATGTTTGTTTGTTTTTCCTTTTCCTAGGAGGTCACTCTTCAGCAAATAATGTCTCAGATTTCTAATGTGAAAAAAGATATGATTATTTTGGAGAAGAGTGAATTTTCAGCTCTCAGAGCAGAAAATGAGGTAAACCTAAACAGCCACTTATCTTTATAAAATGCTTCATATTCAAACATAGAGATATAATGTGCATAAACAGAAGTGCACAAGTAAGAGTACAACTTAATGAATCATCACAAAGTGTGCAGTATCAGTCAGAGTAGAGCATTACCAGCACCGCAGAGGTGGCCACGAGTCACCATTGACTAGTTTTGCCCATTCTAGAACTTGAACTGATGGGATCTTCAGTGTGTCTTGCAGCAGTAGGTCATTCTTTTTCATTGTCTGTGGTATTGTGAATATGCCACATTTTACTATGATGCATATTAGAATTATTTTCAGTGTTTGGTTATTATGAATAAATGCAGCTATAAAATAGCCCTTAGTTTCTTAAAGTGTGTCATGGGATCAGCGTTTAAATAAATGCTGTCTACATCTTCCTTGTGTTAGTCCTATTGGAATCCCATAAAGGAAGCTCATTTATTACCAGTTTGTTAGTCTTGCAAGAAACCTAGCAAAGATGCTTTCTTTTCCTTGAAAATGATAAAGTCTGAAACTCTCAGAATTACTCTTCACATCAGCTGTTTGAGGGAATTTAGTTAAAACAAAAATGTAAAGTAGGTATTCAATAAAGCAAGGTCTCTGAAGGCAAATGTGTATGTTAAAAAAATGTCATCCTGGCATGACAAGTAATCACTTCTCCTAGGAGACTTTTCAGCCAAGGTTGTATTCTGAATGTAGTCACTTCGCATTGAATGAGGGAAGACCTTGTGCATAAGTACATGTTCTAATATTAGTTTATTACCAAGTTTTCTTTTCCTTCTAACCTTCTAAACATATCATTGATTTGTTTCTTTTTTATGTGTTTTTAGAAAATAAAACTTGAACTACATCAGTTAAAACAACAAATAATGGTAAGATCCTCATTCCTATTTGCTTGTTTGTTTATAATTACCTAAGCTTAATAATAAATATAATGTCAGAAATACTTTGTATGTTCTTAAAAACTTAATTCTATGTTAAATGTTTGTGTGATATGTCTCAAAGGTACACATTGAAAGATATAGCTAAAAGCACAGCCAATGAATAAATTACAGATGTGTGTAACCAGATTCATTAAGAAAATTGTGTTCTGGAAGGAATTAAGTCCTTTTTAAATAAGAAATTCTCTAAAGTAGCCAAGTGGAACCCTTATATTCTCTTTGAAGGGTTCTCACATATCTTTAGAGAATTACATGTGATTTTAAAAGGATTAGCACTGTGCCAGTTTGATTTTTTTAAATGGCAAGGACATTGATGTGAAAGAAGAAAATATTTTTATGAGTGTCATAAAGAAGGCTGTATTTAAATAAGAATGTAATATTTTACTTCTATGAATCCATCTCTGCTTTCCAAAGTTGTCCAAGAAACAGCTTTAATCATAAATACCACAGGATATTATCTTGGGAAGTTTGAGATAAAAAAACAACAGTGACTTACTCTTAAACGTAAAAGGGAATTATTTCTGTATATAACTGGAAAGTCCCAAGGCAGGGCTGACTCCAGATGTGGGTTGGCCAGAGTGTCCCCAATCACTGGTTCCAGTTCTGTGAGCCCCTGGGCTGACCCCTTACCTAGAAGAGTGGACGTAGCTTCCACAGGCTTCACATACTCGGTGGGTTTGAATTTCTTACTTTGGATTTTTTTCTTTCTTTGTTTGCCCTCCTACTAGGATGAAGTGGTCAAGGTCCGAACAGAGTCCAAATTAGACTTCAATCTAGAAAAGAGCAGAGTAAAAGAATTGGTATGTTCCCTTATTTAAAATAGAGTATGAATTAAATTCTTTGCAGGATGGAATGCTTGGTCAAGTCTAAGTTTATATACAGTTCGCAAGTACTATTAAATATTTACCTATCGATATATGTCATTATTATGACACAGGTTTTTTATTTATTTTAATTATATTTTTTATTAGGACTTAAATTTGCTTTCATAAGTAACATTAAAATTAAAATATTGCCCTGGCCGATGTGGCTTACTCAGTTGGTTGGAGCATCGTCCTGTACACATAAGAGGTGGTGATCTGACTCCTGGTCAGGGCACATACCTAGGTTGCAGGTTTGATCCCTGGTCAGGGAGCATATGGGAGGCAACCAATCAATGTTTCTTTCTCTCTTTCTTCCTTCCTCTCTCTAAAAAACAAAACAACCACACACATACACACACACACACACACACACACACACACACACACCAAAAAAAAAAAAAAAAAAAAAACTTTAAAATTAAAATATTGGTCAAATAAGTTTGAATCCTTTTTGTTTCAAAGATACTAAATTATCACTTAGATATTAATAAAGAAATTAACCTCAATCTTGACTTGATAGTAAATGATATTAAATTTTATACCATAATTCAAGATTTAAAGAATATTCCCCTCATGTCTTTTTCTTAGAGAAATTGTAATCACTTTACTATATTATTTTGAAATGCAAATTTTAAATGAGTAAGTTATATTAAATTGAAACTTTTAATTAGGAAAATTAGTGCTGCACATTTGTTACCAAAAAGATAAACTAAGAAAACTGGAAATACAGCTCTGTTGCCCTCGCTTTTTCAAAGATAATGTATATAAATACGACATTTTTTCCCTCAGAGCTTTCGCAGTAATCTTTTTCTAACTGAAGTGTAATTGACATATATTAGTTTTGGGTGTACAACGTAACGATTTAATATCTGTATATATTGCAAAATGATCAACACAGTAAATCTAGTTAATATCCATTGCCATATTACATAGTTAAGAAATTTTTTCTTGTTTTAAGAACTTTTCAGATTTGCTCTCATAGCAACTTTCTAATATACAGCACAGTATTATTAACTCCAGTTGCCATGTGGTATATTACATCCCCAGGACTCATCTTTTAACTGCAAATTTGTACCTTTTGACTCCACCCATTTTGCTCACCCTCCATCCCTCGCCTCTGGCTACCATTAATCTATTCTCAGTATCTCTGAGCTCCCAAGGTTTTCTTTGTTTTTCAGATTCCACATGTGAGGTTATACAGTATTTGTTTCTCTGTCTGACTTAGTACACTTAGCATAATGCTCCCAAGGTTCATCCATGTTGTTGCAATAGCAATATTTTCTTCTTTTTTAAGACAGAATATTTCCTTCGAGATACATATTATGATATATACCTCAAATTTTTTTTTATCCATTCACCTATCAGTGGGCTTTTAGATTACTTCCGTACCTTGATATTGTATAATAAATGCTACTATGAACATGGGGGCAATAAGTTGTATATTTTAATCTTTATGTGTTGGGTTACCTCTGATTTTTAACCCATCTATCTTCTTATTCAGTCTTTATTTGGATTTAATAACATTCAGGAGATATCTTTTTTATTCTTGACATAATGAGAAAAAGCATATAAAAACAATTTTCACTAACATAGAATTGGATACACATGCAGAAACCAATTACAATTGTTCGTTGTATTCTAATTTTTCACAATTTGCTTTCAACTAAAATATGTTACACTGATAAATGAAACTAACATTGAAACACAAACAAGTATTTCACCATATTTTGGAACTGGATATGGATTCAATAGTTAAGCTAATCTTTGTTATACCAAATAATTATTATTCTGTTCCTGTTACCTGTCTTTCTAGTCTTTTTTTTTTTTTTAAATATATTTTATTGATTTTTTTACAGAGAGGAAGGGAGAGGGATAGAGAGTTAGAAACATTGATGAGAGAGAACCATCGGTCAGCTACCTCCTGCACACCCCGCACTGGGGATGTGCCCGCAACCAAGGTACATGCCCCTGACTGGAACCGAACCCGGGACCCTTCAGTCCGCAGGCCGACACTCTACCCACTGAGCAAAACCGGTTTCGGCTTTGTCTTTCTAGTCTTAAAATGTTTTTCAACCATGAAGATTAAATCACTTAGTAACACTAAAATATTTAGTGATCACTAGCATATGACTATATCAGGAAGAGGAGAAACTCTTTTGGCTATCTTTGTCTTATGGTTTGTGTACTTAACAAATTTTCTGAGTTCACTTGTTAAAAATTTTATTTGTTTGTTTATTTATTTTAGAATGAGGGGAGAAACATAGATTTGTTGTTCCACTTATTTATGCCTACATTGATTGATTCTTGTGAACACCCTTACTGGGGATCACACCCGCAACCTTGGCATATGGGGACAGTGCTCTAACCAACTGATCTACCCGGCCAGGGCTGAATTCACTTGATTTAAGAAGATGCCTGTTGTTAACCAACCTGGGAAGAAAAATACCTAGAAGATTGGGAAATATGGGATGTGAGCCTGGATTAAAGCCTGTGAGTTTATATGATTTACTGACCTAGCTGAGAAGTTGTTCTTGGTAATCCTAAACTTAGATTACTCTGAAGTGCAGGACAATAACATAATATAATGCAGCTAGTATGTATTTAACATGCATAGATGAAGATGAGTTATTTGACCCTCTCATTCCCTTGTTTAATAAAGTTGTAATATTGTGCCAATAACATTAACTGTGGTGATATTTACAGCCAGTTTAAAACGTAGTTTGGCAAGTAAACTGTTTTGGGATACAAAAAGATGGGACTTATTTTTAAAATCATGGCAATATCAAGATATGTAGGCTTTTCTTTTCTCTTGTGGCTGAATCAATACTGACTTACTGAAGGCCAGAATTTGAAGGTATGAAGAAAATCCAGTTCCCCCTGCCTTCTGGTGGTGATCAGATGCATAGCTCTCTCCTAGTCTGAAGCCCTGGCATTTAAAGACAGATGAGCATTCTTTGATACTACGACTAGTCCTTAGTTTAGGGTTTGGGTGCTTTTTCTTCTTCATCTTCTTCTTCCTTCTTTTATTTATTTTTTATTTTTATTTACAAGCAATGCTATTGTAGTCCCAAGGGCAATTTTTATGGGAATTATTCCCCACTTTTTCAATTCTCTCCTGTCAAAGCCAAAAAGCATATGACTCCGTCTAAATTGGTCCATCTAAATTGGTCCCTAGAGTGCCAGTATGGGAATGGGAGGGACCTAGAGCTAAGAAATGAAAAGAGAAAAACAGAGAGAAAGGTGAAGACTAACAAAAGGGAGTCCAGATACAGGAGTGATGAGTGAATATAAATAAGAAACCTCAAAAAATAGATCTAAAGGAAAAAAAGGTCACGTAGGCTTCTTTCTGTTGGAGGCAGTTTCTAGTGTCACATATTCTTGGAAGTAGTGAGACCAGAATATCTGAGACACTCATGGAGGAGAAGAGGGAAAAAAGAAAGCAGAATCTGATCTATGTGATATGTTTGTTTCAGTATTCATTAAATGAAAGGAAGCTGCTGGAAATGAGGACGGAAATGGTGGCATTGGTAAGAAATGAGACCAACTTTTCTTGGTCATTTTATTCATCTCTGCTTCATCCTGTGCATGGTTACTGCTATTTGTAGTGAAGTGTTATAGGAAACTTATGTGCAGGTTTAGTATCATAGGATTTTTTTTAAATTGTGGTAAAATACACATAAGCAGTACCATTTTAACCATTTAAAATATATATATATTATATATATTATATATATATATATATATATATATATATATATATATATATATATTTATTATTGATTTTTTACAGAGAGGAAGGGAGAGGGGTAGAGAGTTAGAAACATCGATGAAAGAGAAACATCGATCCGCTGAGCTGCCTCCTGCACACTCCCTACTCGGTATGTGCCCGCAACCAAGGTACATGCTCTTGACCAGAATCGAACATGGGACCCTTGAGTCCACAGGCCGATGCTCTATTTACTGAGCCAAATCGGTTAGAGCCATTAAGTGCATTCACATTATTATGCAACCATCACTACCATCCATATACAGAACTCTTTTCATCTTGAAAAACTGAAATTCTCCCCATTAAACAATAACTGCCCCCCAGCCCCTGACTACCACTATCTACTTTCTGTTTATGAATTTGACTAATGTAGGTACCTCATATAAGTGGGATTATATGGTATTTGTCCTGTTGTGACTGGCTTGTTTTCATTTTTAGCATAATATCCTCTAGCTTCACCCATATTGTAGCATGTGTCAGAATGTCCTTTTTACAGTTGAACAGTAATTAGGTGGATACACCACATTTGATTATCCTGTCTCTGGACAGTTGGGTTGTTTCCTCTGGTGGTTGTTGTGAATGATGTCGCTATGAACATGGGGATACAAATATCTGCTGGGGTCCCTGTTTTCAATTTTTTTTTAGCATATACCTGGAAGTGGAGTATCGTAGGATTTTTTTGCACTTAACCAAATACTTGATTATCATAATAAAAGTTTAAATCTCAGTGATTTAAGAATAATAAGGAATGAATTTTTAAATTATATTTTTAATTTATGGCATGTGTTTACTTCTTTTCCATCCTATATTACTTGGGACCTCTGAAACCCACAGGAGACTTCCATGAGAGAATATTGGAATATTCCTCTGGAATACTTTTTTGTTCATCCAGGCTCTTGTTTTTTTATTTGTTACCTGAATTGTTAGCCATCGGGCACTATTTACCTGCCCTAGAATTTTTAGTAAAGCATTGATGCATTAGTGAAGTATGACAACCCTTTTAAAACATCAGCCAAACTCACCATCCTTTGGGGGTAATTATGTATCTAGTTGGACTGTTATATTTGAAAGAGAAAAAGCACAAATAGGCCTTTGGAATAGCCAAGCCTCATAATAATAAAACACTTGGTATTTGAACTATAAAAGAAGAAAACTTTAAAAAATGTGAATAGAAGCAGTGTCAAGGTAAGCACTGTTGCTTTTAAATTATCCAAGATTCTTGTCATTTTTTAAAAAATATATATTTTATTGATTTTTTTACAGAGAGGAACGGAGAGGGATAGAGAGCTAGAAACGATGAGAGAGAAACATTGACCAGCTGCCTCTTGCACACCCCCCACCGGGATTTGCCCGCAACCAAGGTACATGCCCCTGACCAGAATCGAACCTGGGACCTTTCAGTTCACAGACCGACGCTCTACCACTGAGCCAAACCGGTTTTGTCGATTTTTGTCATTTTTTTAAAGCATTTTTGTATGCTTTTCATTAAGGGGAACTCAGAAGTGTGGAACATATTTATTGCCATTAAGAACAAACTGGCTTCATAATGTTAACATTACTTTTAACAAAAGTTTTTTTTACATAGATTATCACACTGGATTCTCTAAGTAGCCTGTGTAGAGGCAGAACTAATGGTATTTTTTTCTTCCTTTTTTCAAACAGAAAGAAACAGGCCTAAGTATATTAAAGGCCCTGACCAACGCAACATAGCATGAGGATAGTAGAATTAAGACTAAAACCCAACTCTCCTTAATCTTACCCCAGTTCCCCTTGACTGCACGTTGGTGGGCAGGAACTCTCAGGACTGACAGCAGACAGTATATCTCAAGTGGTATAATGCTGTGAATCTCTTTGTTTTAAAAGCATGCCCAGCAAGACCGGGCCGTCACCCAGACAGACAGGAAGATAGACACTGAGGTTGCTGGCCTCAAAACCATGCTCGAGTCGCACAAGCTTGATAATATCAAATATCTAGCAGGTAAGCTGTTTTATATCTAGGTAATTGAAACAAGCTGAAAGTAAAGTAAATAAATTTTATAAAATAAGTTGGGTAGATATTGCATTTCATTGATTCTAACACATACTTTTTCATATTTTAATATCTTTGAATTTGGTAAGATTCTTATAATTACCGATAGTATCATATGATAATTGGCAATTTTTTCTTAGAAGTAAATAAAATGATGTACTTTGCAGTCAATGGAATCTTAAATCTGATAAGATACTATCATTGAATTACAGTTATTTAAAAAAATTTTTAAGTGGAATTCAAGACAGAATAATGGACAGAGAATGAAAAACTTTTAAGTTGTGATCTTTCTGCTTCTATTGGTGACCTTCCTCATAAGAAGTTATTTGCAATTTTTGAGACAAAACAGGGAATAAAGCTTCATGTCAAAAAAATTAGTATTTTAACTCAAATTTAGTATGTTGGGTTCATCAATATTTTAAAGTTACAGCCAAAACCGGTTTGGCTCAGTGGATAGAGCATCGGCCTGCGGACTGAAAGGTCCCAGGTTCGATTCTGGTTAAGGGCATGTACCTTGGTTTCGGGCACATCCCCAGTCGGGGTATACAAGAGGCAGCTGATCAATGATTCTTTCTCATCGATGTTTCTAACTCTATCCCTCTCTCTTCCTCTCTATAAAAAAATCAATAATATATATATATTTTTTAATATTTTAAAGTTACAATGGTATTAAGTAGTGACATTTTGCTTATAAAACTAGTCTGTATCCCTTCCAGTACATCTACATATGCTGTGACCACAGATTTCGTAATTCTTAACTCTTATTGAAAGTTTTCTTGATTATTGGATACATTTGTACTTGGAAGAAGATGATTTCAAGGTGTGAGGTTTGTTTTTTTATGGGCAGGTGTCTTGTGGAATGTGGCACATCAGTGAAGAAGTTTCTTAGTCTGTTTTCCCCCTTGTTAAATAGGTGGATATGTTTTCTTAAGAAAGAGTTGTTCCCTCAAGTCACTATTAAAATAACTAATACTGTGCTTAATTATTTTTCTTACAGGGTCTGTATTTACATGCCTAACAGTAGCTCTGGGATTTTATCGCCTGTGGATATAATAAAGTGTATATTTAAATAAATGTTGTTTTGCCTTGAGAATACCAGATTGTTGTGCTCTCCTCCCCTTCAACTTTTAATGCCGATTTTTACTTAAAGCATATTACTTATTTTATGCAAATTATGGACCTGTAACCAAGGCAAAGAAGTCAGGAATTTCATAATTGCTCCTTTACTCGTTTCTGTTTGGCTGGCTTTATAATGCTGAGTGGCGGTGGACAAAACACGGAAGACTCCACTCAGCTGGATCAGTGAACTCCGCCTAACCTGTGGGACATAGCAACAGTAAATATTTGTGTAACTACCACTGTAAATCTTTTGTCACACAGAGGACTTGGGCGTCCATTTAAAAGGCATAAAATATTTAATCAATATATTCCCTGGCTTTACTGAGTGCGGAAGAACCACTGAAAGTAACCAAGAGCACCTTCTCCACTTCACCTGCCCTGACCTTAGCATCAGCATCCCTAATGAAACAGCTGTGCTTTACATCCAGATGAGGGTTTTTTCTTTCAATTTCCACTTCCATTGTCTCGGTAACTTACTGTTAAGATATTTTTATGTGCCTTCGGACTAGAAAATCTTGTGAGGTGTTGTAATTGTAATGGGACTCTTGTACTTGTGGGTTTCTCTCCCTCCCTCTCTCTCACTGGGCCCTTCTTTCCCTCCCTCCTGATTGGAGAGCTGTGGTCACTCCACTTGTGCCTGCCTGGATAACGTGCTGATTCTCAGCGTGGACGTCTACTTCAGTTTGTGGGATGGGGTCTGCTTCCTTCTCGTCTTCTGCCTTTTGTACAAGGGAGGCAGTCTGTGGCAGCATCTGGATATTTAGAGAGTGTATGCACTTTTAGGAATAACCCATTACAAACTCAGATCATAGGCTTTCAAAATTAGAAAACTGTCATGCTGGATATCATCTGAATTTAGGTTGATTTCTTTGGTTATTAAAAATATTCTCATATCTACCTTACCTCTATATTTAAAATAAATAAATTCCTAGATACAGTGGGTTATTTTGAGAAAGCACCTTCACAAAGGCATCTTATTGGAATGACTGGCAGGTAGGAGAAAATGAGCATTTTAGGACAGATGACATTGGTAGGCCCTTTGCTCACCTCCACAGGCGGACATAATACATAATACATAATAGTACATAATCTGGTACAGTGGAGAAACCACGTTGAGCCCACCTGATCAAACTAGAATGAATACCCACTATCACTGTACCATTCCAAATAAGTTTGAAAATCAATCAAGTACTTTTGTATTTCAAAATGAATAACAACTTAATCTTTTCAACTTGATTTAGAACAATCTTAACTGCTCCATAAAATATTTAATCAATATATTCCCTTTCAGAGAAGGATCCCCAGAAAATGGTGCACATTTAGCAATTGCCTTAAGTAGTGAAGACTCAAGGAAATGACATCCCATTAAGACCACATTTGCAGCTACTTCATAACTTTGGTTCGTAGAGCTTAGAGAAAAGGCTTGGAGTACAGACACTCCTCCAAAATAAAGAGCACCCAAGGCAGAAAGTATTGTATATAATTATGTTTCAAAGCAAACATTAACTTGTACAGGTTAAAAACAGTGAAGTGGCCTTGTATTCTGATAAAATATTTTTAAGGTAACATTCAGTGGGGTGACATTCCCTCACCTGCCAGTAGTCCAAACCAGCGGTCGCCAACCTTTCGAACCTCATAGACCACCAGTGATCTGTGGACCACCGGTTGGCGACCGCTGGTCCAAATGATATTCCTACTGCTGATAGCGGGCTGCATCAGCCCGTCACTTAATTTGGACCGTTGGTTTTGAGTAGATTTTGATTGCTGTAGAGTCTTAAGCAGTACAGAGCAGCCTCTTACCCCTCCGCCTTGGGAACAATGAGCTCTCCTTTTGATGGAGGGATTGTGTGCTGAAGTAGAGGTTCAGAAGGTGCGGGATGATGTTCCCTTTATTTAGTCAAGTGTATTCTACTTGAAAAGCATATGAGCCAAAAATACAAGTGTCCCCTTCCCACTGCTGGCCCAGATATTCAGAACAGTGGAAGCATTCAGGACGGGACACCATGTGACAACTTCCAATCATTCAGATCACTTTAGGAAATGAAGCTTTCACACTCAGAAGGGAGCAGATGCCTGGCAAGGCTTCAGAAAATCTGTGTCTAGCCCCGGGAAATTAACCACAGGTCGATCCTGAAGCATTCCTCTCCAGCACAGGTGCCTAAGGTACAAATACTTGAAGCAGAACATCACAGATGGGAACTGTTTTCCTTGTATTAATTGCTCCATTCCTTAGGCTCCTCTGCATTCCTACTGTCTCCTCTCCCCCTCTCCCTTTATCTTTTTGAAAGAGCTAAACACCACTTCCTCTTCTTACCTCCCCCATTAATAAGCAAAACCTGTTTGTGTGTGCAGTTCTTACAGGAAACACGAATTTGGTTTTCTAGCTTAATATCTGACAAAACTGAATCTGAATGTATTCATTTTTTCCCTTACGTATGCCTCAGTTGTGAAGTCACAAATTCAAGAAGAAAGGCTTGATGACAAAAAAACACACACATCTTGATAGAATTTGTCTCTGAACACATTAAAAACAAAAACCCTGAGCCACTGTGAACATGATCCTGACTGGACTGTCCTGGCTCAGCTCTGCTTTCCCTTCGCAGCCCCACTCAGTGACATGGCCCCACTTCGTTCTGGTCTCCTCCAGCCTCACCGCTTGTTATTAGTTAACTGTGTCAGCAGCATCAGGCATTCCTCTCCCCTCATCCTAATGTGCTATGTTCTGAGAATTATGGCCTCGTTTCTGAACAGATATACAGATGGCACTAGAGAACTCATAGAAAACTTATACATTACCAAATTTGTTGTGATTTTTCTGACATTACAGCAAAAACATCTTAATCAGAAATAATATATATTAAATGTTTAAAAATGTTTAGCCTTTTATTGGATTTTTTTTAAATACCCGTCTACAGATTTACGCTTATTATGTTCCTCTGATTATAACCCAAATAATTTCTTAACCCTTTCATTACTTATGCAAATATTCAGTTATCCTTTATGATATATTAGAGTGGATATAACATTTTTATCATCTAAAATAAAATATTTAATTTCTCTTTGTGTGACTAACACATTTTTCTATTTGTTCAAATTGAATCTGAACACTAGAATTTTGTCTACACTGTATTTCAATTGTTAGTCTTTCCCATTGTATATAACATTGAAGTATTATAAGAAAACCTAGTACCTAAAAACTTGAATTTGCATAAAACAAACTTGAAAGTAAATATTTGATTTACAAAATAATTTTTATTTTTTAAAACAATTCTTTTAGCATGTTCGTGGAAAAAACTTGTTTGAAGGGATGTTTTTTAAAAACAGCTGAGGATTCAGGTTGCAAATGATAGAACCTGAATTGAACCAGCTTGAGCAAAAAGGCTTTTTTGACTTATGTGATCAAAGTTCAGGAAGAAAAAATTAAAAAAACGCCATCACTTCTCCGTACCTCTTACCGCTCCCTTTTCTCCAAGCGGGCCCAGTTCTCAGTCCAACTTCAAGTGTGGAGAGCCGGAGACAGCCAGCAGGTGCCCTGCAACCTCACGGTTAGAGCTCCACTTTGGAAAAGCCTGGAAGAAGTATCCAAAGCAAACTAGCAGCCAGCACGGGTCCTACAGATCTGTTCCTTGCAGGCTTCTTCCCTGAGGACCCGTGAGCAAATGTCCCGTCCCTGCAGAGTCAGTCAGCTCTTCACTCAGCCTGCCCTGGCTGATGTTTGAGTAATAAACGTCTATTCAGGAGGAACACCTTGGCAAGGCAGACAAATGGCACATAACCTGGAAATTAATTTTAAATACTTTTCATTTTCTCTAAACCAGAACTCTTTTACCGAAATTAGAGTCAAATAAACTAAGATTTGAGGGTGAGCTGTTAAGTTTCTCAAAGGCCCTAAATGATTTGCAAACCCATTCTGTGTTTAAAATGGTGTGCCGTGGATATTTTAGATCATCCACATTTCCCACCTGGGTCCCACCCACAACTGGTGTGTGCAGACCAACTCAAATATTTCCTTTGCCTTGAGGCTGTGGTTTCTTTCCAAATAAAATGTCTAAAAGCTGCATTCTCTCTGGAATCAACCTCTGGCATTCCACAGCAGAGCTTCGCTATGCAGCTGCTAGAGACCCTGCCTTACCTTCACTGCAGTTTTCACACAAAGATCAGACTGGGAAGCGGGAGAGAGGTCATAGAGCCACTGTCAACCTCAGAGGTCCGAGCTTTGTGCCCTTAACGAGGGAACACTAAGCTTGTCTTGTACATACAGATGTGCAGATAAATGTTTTTAGGCCAACACTGAGGAATAAGTTGAAATAGGGTCCTAACTTTTCAGTTTAAACTAACTGTGTGTGTGTGTGTGTGTGTGTGTGTGTGTGTGTGTGTGTGTGTACGCGCGCGCGCGCGTTCTGTTTCAGTAAACCTCAATTAGTGGTTTATGATTTTGAGGTTTAAGGTCAGTGTAATATTAAAGCCCAGGAAGCTACTCCATTTCAGGGTAGTGTGTCATTTCTGAAGTTACTGTCTTGAGAGGTTTTTTTTTCAAAACTTTTCTCCTCAGCCATTTAGATTGGACAACACCCATTCTCCCAGGAGAAAAGACAGCTGCTTGGCAGTGTCTTGTCCCTTCCAACATGAAAGTGTCTTCCTAACATAGAAGTACTTTTTTACCATTTCTCTTTAATTTTACAATAATTTATGGTTTGGACGAACCTCACAGCAACCCAAGCCAATGCTGTAACAGGCACTGTCTCTCAAACTTCCAGAATTGCTATCTGAAAACCTCAGTGGTAAGACTGTGGGGAAGAGATGGAAGCCAGAGATCAAGACACTTTGAACCCATGCGAGCCCTTTGCATGTTTTCATTGCATCTGTGTCAATTGGCTGCTTTCAACTGCAAGTAACAAAACAAACCGTGCTTGTGCCCAATGACTTTAATTCTT